AACATCTAGGAACATTTACATGGCTTTGTGTAGAGAACCTGCTGAATGTGAAAGGAAGGGAACGCATTCAAGATACGCTCCCACTTTGTCCTCCAACAAACGCCGGTTCTTCAAGACAACATCTCTCTTTGTGGAGGTGTGCGTCTGCGGAAGGCAGAAGAAGGCCATCGTCCGCGCATTGCCGGAGCTGACTGTCTGGGCAATGTTGATGCTCTCGTCAATGGAAAGCTGGCCTGGGCCCCATACTTACTTTGAAACAAAACTAAGCTCTCTTTGAGGGTCTAATGATAATTTCCATCATTGTTTGTGTTTTTCCTAACCCTATGTCCTCAATATTCCTCAATGACCAGCCAGGGCGCGGGAAGGCCACAAGGTGGCGTCCACAATCAGGATAGTCAGCCTATGGGCTCAAAGCTACCAAAGGACTCTTGTGGGCGGGTGCTTTGTTATCCAACGATTTGTGTTTACATTTGAGACTGACAAGGAACCCGTCGGGTCCCATATCCTGTTGCATGTTGACAATCAAGCTATGGGAAAGCACAATTGAGGAGTGAGATGTCATAGTATGCTTCTCCTTGGTGAATCCCGCAAGCCATTCCTTGCCCTTCATGTACCGGTCGTTGATGTGCTTGTAGTCCAGGGCTGCCTGCCAAGATTGGCAATGAAACACACTCCACCCACACAGTTTCATCAAGATTGTTTTTTATCCCTGAAACTTCCCATCGAATCGTATTCCAAGATGAAGATGTTCCAAGTAAGTCGCACCTTGTTTATAGCGCGAACTGCCGTGTACATTTGGTTGATTAAAGATGGAAGCCTGCTGCTGCGCGTACAAGTTGAATGCACCTGCCCAATCTTTGAGCTTCAAGAGGTCACCATCGATTTGTAGCTGACACTGCTGCCACGTGGTTTGGAGCAATTGCTGGGAAAGCCTGAGTATCTTACGGGCCGTTCATGACACGAAGACAGCTCGAGTTGCGCCAGGCTGCTCGGCGGCTTTGCTGCGGGCACTCTCTTCGACCTGTCGGGGACGGGGAACTCAAGCAGCGCGCAGTCTAGGGGTTTGGGTGCCTAGGTGGTGCCTGGTTGTGGTAGCGCTGGATATGGTTGGCAAAGATGCTCACTTTTGAAAGTGATGCAGGAGGAACTGAATGTTCCAGCAATGCCTGCAAATCGGCATCCCCGTGCCGCAATTCAAACCTGAGGCTCCAGGTTGACCGGCCGGGCAACCCAGTCCGATGTGAGATTCATCACCAACATGAGGCCAAGTTGTTCCATCTATTTTACATAGTAAGTAACGTTTTGTGGATCTCAGTGAGGCAGGCATCCGCAAAGGTTGTCGGTACTGACGATGTGAATTGATCCAAGCATGCCAAAAAGGCGCCACAGCAACGATGCATCATTTCCTGAGATAATCCAAGGCAAAAAGATTAACGCGTAGAAACACTGAGTAACTTCAGACACTTCAGAGCAAATCACGCAAAATCCGCGTTCATCCAAACTGATTTTCACAGGTGGAGGCTCCACTTCCTTCTGGTTCCATGGCCGCCTCTGCTTGGCCGGCAGGGCAACCCAGTCCGCTTCGAGCCGGGTGACAAGGAGACGCAGTAACCCCACTGAGTTGGTTAGCTCGGATTTCCAAGGCAAGAGAATGCCCGACGCAGAGCAATATCCAACATTGAAGACGTTTGCACTGATGGCGTCATGGTTCAAGAACCGAGGCTGACCATACTTCCTGCACAAATCCGATAGCGCGATACAAGACTACACCTTGTACATGTTGTAATGTGACAGTTGTTTTTTGGCAAGCTTGCAAACTATCCCTGCCTCACTAGCAACGTTAAAGATTCCTTGATCTCCCCCGGTATTTTCTGAAGCAAATTGATCGCAGCAGTGCTTTCTTGTTTCCCCAATGAGTATGCCGCAATGTGGCTTGCGATGGCTTCGTTGGCCTTGCAAAATGACAATAACATAAAGTCCATGAACCTTGCTGGATAGCTTTGTCATGAGATGAAATCACATTGCAAATGTCCCTAGCAACAACCACAAGGGCCTCCAAGCTCTGAACTGTGTGCTCAGGTGAGAGTCCTCCACGAACCATCATTTCAAGCTGGTGTACCAAGTTGAAGGCGTTTGGTCTGCGCCGGATCGATGACGTGAGGCTCACACCTTGTGATGAACACCCGCAAGATCACAAGCGACAGCTCAAACATGTATGCGCTTGTCCCAAACCTCGGTTGGTGTTGATGATCTGTGTGAGGTCCGCTGTGGTCACCGTTGCGTAGATGGCCCCAAAGGTCCTGCAAGTCCAGGAGGCTCTAACCAACAAACACGCGAATAGTCACAACGATTTTGCAGTGGAACACTGAGGATTTTGCAGGGGAACACGGATGCCCACAAGTGCCGGCAAGGTACTGCTTGACGTTGTTTGGAATGGCCTGGCCATGTAAAACTATGGGACAAAGCAAATTTTATTCAGCAACAATAAACCACATTCAGGACATCTGTCCTGGCCTGGAGCAGGGAATCATCTTGGAAGGCTGCCAGACAAACACCAAGGAATGATATGCAACGGTTCCATCCCTTCACCATAAACGCTAAGCCCGGTGAAAGGAGGTCAGGCGCATCAATATTGCAGGCTTCTTTGCTGATGCCAGCCATTGGAAGTTGGAGCCAACAGCTCTGGGCGAGCGTGACGCAGATTTTCTCTACGCCCGGAAGGTCTGCGCATGTCAAAAAGCCATTGACCAGGATGAGCTGACAAAGGGCATGTTGGACCTCCTGGTTTTACACTGTTTTTTGAGTCGGAAGCATTCCACATCGCCACTTTAAAGCGTACAAAATCGTACAAAGATCAACTAATCAGTTAAGTCTCGCTGTCGGCGGTTCCTCGCAAACCATAGTCTGCTCGGTGAGGAAGCTGCCAGGGTCGCAGCACAGAACCTCCAATGCGCTGGAGGTTGTCCAAAGTGGCATACTGCCTCAAAGAAAAATCATTAGTAGACGGTGACGGTAGTAAGTACACATGATATGGAAGCTTGAGAGCCACACACCTCTGGGTCAGGCGGAAAGTTCACATCCATGAACTTGTAAAAGGCACATGAGCTGGCCTGCCAAAAGCATTTGTTTGTCGTATGAACGGCGGTTGTTTCTCGCATTCAGAGCAGCCCCTGCCTCACTGGACAAGAACTCACTGAGCACGACATCTAGTGTCTTTTGGGCATCGAAGATGTTCACCTTCCTAGGTTCACTGTCAATAATAATCTAGTGTTTGAAACCCGAAGTGCACTGTTGTTTTTGAAACTCGAAGTGTTTATTGTTTCTGGGTGTTTGCTTCTTGACTACAAGCGGCGCCCACTGCTCGAAGATCTTCAAGTGTGGTAGCGCCAGTGCATCAGCCGGAACCCCCGGCAAATCGCC